CAGTGGGGGGAATGTATCCGGAGGTATAGACAGACAACATTCACAGTAACCGTGCAGGAGCATCTGTACCACTAGCTTAAAAGGTATTCTACAGAGGAAATGTTGGGTCGGTGCTAAAGCGCTGCACTGAATTCTCTCCCAGCAATTGAGGCTGCCCCATACAAACACTTCTCACCGACCCCAAAGCAGTCATTAAATGCAACCGACCCCAAAGCAGTCATTAAATGCAACATCAAGACACATGCGGTTTCAGCTCCAGTCCTGGCATGCTTTCTTTTAAAATGCAAAAGAGGGTTCTGACTCACTCGGACAGCACCTATAACAACCACCTTGGAACTGCAGAGCCGGAAGGGACCCTGTGGATCATTGACACTATTCTCTCAAGGAGGCCCAGTGGGGGAATCGAACGCCCAACCTCTGGCTCTGCAGACAGAGACCTAAGCCGCAGAGCTATCCGGAAGTTTACAAAAAAAGTGGCCCCCTTTGGATTCCCAAGGCAAGGAGAGGACAAGACTGATGACTTCAGAGGTGCAGATCTGAAGCCCTTCCCTTCTTTGGATGTTTGCTGAACATGAGGAAGAACCTCTGAGAAGGTTGCTGGTGTTAGGTTCACACACAGTGAATTAGCAGTGTGTGCACTGCCTCTGAAAGACAACAGAAAATCCTGCCCTCGCTGGGCTTGGAGAAACCACACTGCAGGCCTGTATTAGGTTTCCTACGGGGAAGCAGTACAGTGGACCCTCAACTTACAGATAGCTCGACTTACAGACTTTTTGAGTTACAGACTTCTCTGGCTGCAAAATTTAGGTTCGACTTGCAGCCAGAGAATTGACCTACAGACCAGAAAAAAAGCCAAAATGGAATAAAAATGGAACAAAAACGGCCGATTACAGGATTAATCTGTTTCCAATGCATTGTAGGACAATGGAGACTTGACCTACAGACTTTTTGACCTATAGCCACCATTCCAATATGGATTAATTCCGTAAGTAGAGGGTCCACTGTATAGGACTCAGCTAGTCGGTTTGACTTAGGTTGTGCCCAGGCAAATCCACTTCCACTCACTCGAGATGGATTGTAAGAATCACACACACAGCCACCCAACCCCTTCCACCCTTTCTGCCAGGATGTCAAGGAAGGCTGTGTGCGTGTGTGTCACTCAGTAGCTTCACTTTGATGTCTACAATTAATTGTGCTCCTCCTCCTTTTTCACACCTTGTTTGGGCAGCCCTTATGACACTTCAGCATTGAGTGGTTTTCTTCCCAGGACTCAATTTTTCTGAGCTTCCAGTTCCCACTAGGTAAATTTGCACAGGAGTGGAGTGTGTTGCCCATATCTGTACAGAGAGATCCTGGTGTAGCGCAAAGTCAACCCATTTAACTGTTGTAGGAGTGGTCCTTTCCCTTTCAACGCATTCTTGTCCCTTTTAGCACCGTGTGCTCATATGGGCTCCAGCAGTGGCGAGAAATCATAGAATTGTTGAGTTGGAAAAGATCCCAAGACTAATTTTGTTCTGTCTTTTGTTAATGCAAAAATAAATAATATTAGATCTGTCTGTTAATGTCACCCCCATTTAGGAATGGTAAAATTATATGTATCTATTTGGTGGTCTTGAATGAAGTAGCATTTTCGCACTTCTCCATACGTGTTAAGAGAAGCAACACACCTTTCTTTGAGCATTCACACTATTGCAAGGTTTATGTGTGTTTTGAAGACAAAACCATGTGCACGTTTTAAAAAATGCAAAGAGCTGAGAATACAGTATTTAAAAGATGCCCACAAGTGTACTTTAGCCAAAAAAAATGGAGAAATGAAATTAGGCTTCATATGTAAAGTCCTGTACCCAATAATTGAAACACATAAATAAGAAAAATATATATGCAGATTTCGGTGAGCGAGGCAGTAAATTCTCACAATTCTCAGTATGAATAAGGATGAGAATACAGTTGGGTTTGGGGGGAGAAATAGAACAGAATTGGAAAAGAGAGATTTTCACATCCTAAGTTGTATGGCAGGGAATTAGAAGACTTGCTGAGGGGGAGAGTTTTCAAGTCTGCAGGATAAATCAGAAGCTTTTCCTGGATCAATCTGAGCCATGGAACTTGGGGCTTGTAAAGTTTATGTTTCCTTTTAGGGTGGGCTTTTACAAGACCTTTAAGCCCCTACCTAAATCAACTTTGCCAGCATACCTAAAGAATGGAGTATGAATGTAATCGTCAAGATTCAATGGGATAGCACAAGACCCCCCCCCTCCTTGATACACCCGTGACATTCACACTCAGACCTGACAATTTTTGTTTCATTTTTGCTTTTCCAGATGTGAGAGCCATGCCATGGGATTCCACTGTACCATACTTAGAAAATTGCCCCTCTAGAGATGGAGGAAGAGAGGCAGGGAGAGGAGTGCAGGAATGTGTGAATGATTATTTAAACAGCCGTCATCTCACAATCTCAGTATCTTTGTCTTCATAAAGGAAAGGCATTGGTTCGACATTTCTGCAAATTCTATGATTTCCTTCCATTAGAGAGGTGTTCTATCCCAATTACGAGGAAGGACAGAGAAAGCAGAATGACTTAATAGGCAGAATTGAGAATAACTCTCCCGAGTCTTGCCTCCTTCCACCATCCTTCCAGCACTGCATTACACATTCATGACTTTTTTTTTAAAGAAAAAGGGCTGAAAGTAACCATTATGATAATGTCCAAGTCTCTTGACAACACAGACCTTGGCTTTCTCGTCAGTGATCTCTCAATAATGTATGTTGAGACTGCAGTAACTTTCTTTTTCCCCTTTCGGAAGGATTTGAAATGACACAGAAGTCAACACATCCCTGAATAAAGTATTCCAACTTTATTATTCAGTTTCTGATCTGGGTTTCTTTCCTTTTGACAAGATGTGGTTGATTCTGAGACATACATACAAAACTGCAAATATGCATTGGTGTCAGTTGGATTGTACAGAGGCTCTCTGCATCTTCCCACAAACCGTGTACCCTCCCTAGTTTAGGGTTGTGCCTTACACAATACCTTACACTCTTTGTGGCTGTTTCAACTTTCCTCTTTTTTTCTCCTGATATCCATTCCACTTGCTTCTAGCATAGACAGTTACACACACACACACACGCACACGCACATGCACATGCACATGCACACGCATGCACGCACGCACGCACATACACACACACACACACACACACATACACACACAGCAAATCTAGAGCCTCCTGGGAGAAGACCCAGCCTGTGTAGTTTTGGATACCATAGCCATAGAAGAAGGGACTGGCAAATCTACACACCATAGGTTGGAATCAACTACAGCATGTAGTCCACTGGAGGAAATGAGGTTTGGAGATATGCTTGCATGGTGAACATCAGAATTCAAAGTCAGTCTATGTAACTGTTTCAGAAATGTTTTTGTGACCTAAATCCAGTTGGTTGGTTGGTACACCCAGTTAGAGGAGAGCCAGTGAACCAGCTATTGAGTGGTGAGTCAACATTTAGGTAAATCCCAGTGTTTCAATGGGTCTCCTTTAGTTGCAGCTATACGTTGGAGTCAGGTCTTCTCCTTTTCATAGACCTTCCCTGTACAACCCTATTGAACCACAGAATGATTTTGACCTACTGACCCAACCATCTTCAGTTCTTTCTATTTATGCCCCACTTTTCTTCCAATAAAGGGACCCAAACCAGCTAACATAATATCATATTCTTGCCACTGTCTACCTCTGGGCTCTTGGGGAAAAGAATGTGGATTAAAGAGAAGCAAAGACCAAAATATTTCTGTTCTCTTATTCTTATAATTTGCTTCTGTGAATGAAGGCACAGGAAATGTGCATGCATTAGTCATCTCAGTACATTGCTTTAATCTGGGTCATTTCCTCGCTTAATGTCTCCCATGAACGCCAATTAAAATAGTCCTAAAGTGCTCCAAGATGAGTCCAGGAAGCCTAGTGTAGGTTTGGTAGGGATAAGAAGAGAAGGGAGATGAAAACAAGAGCAGTGGGCTCCATGTATGTTAATTAATTTAACTGGCAGAAGTAAATAGCAAGGTCTCCTCCTACTTCAGGGCTTGGAAAAGAGAAACACTGGTTCAAATCCTCACTCACTTCTAAGCATGGTGTGTTCTCACTGCTTAGCCTACCTGTCAGGCAGGTTGTAAGAATAAGGGAGGCACTCTTGTTTGGTAATGGAGTGTATCCTGGCTCTACCTCTAGTTAAGTAAGTTGCCCTAAGTAGTAGGGCCCGGCGAGGCCCTACCTGAGGCTGCTACCATTTGGGTAGATGGTACCTCAGAAGATGGGCCAGAAATTTGACACCAATATAAGGTAGCGACATGAAGTTGATCAAGTTGAGGACGAGTGTTGTGCAGCGGTTGGAGAGCTAAGCTGGAATGGTAGAGACCCAGGCCCAGCCATGAACCTCCTTAGAAGTGACCCTGAGTAGTCTCTGTCCCCCCCCCCCATTCTGACCTTTCTTCCAAGATTGCTGATCAGATAACATGAAGAGGGAGTCTCAAAGTATCCCGCTTTGAACTCCTTGGAACTGACCTTTCTTCCAAGATTGCTGAGCAGATAACATGGAGAGGGAGTCTCAAAGTATCCTGCTTTGGACTCCTTGGAGGAGGATGGAGTAAAGTGTATATTTTAACAGGCACTGTGGACCGCAACTTGTAAACTTTGTGTGTGTGTGTTTTTTTTTTACTTTAAATTCCCTGTGTGTGTGTGTGTGTTTTTTTTTAACTTTAAATTCCAGAATCTCCCCAGCCAATATGAAACACACATTTTGATCAAGTTGTGGTATTAGCAAACAAGGAGAGCGGGTCTTCCTAATGCCTTGCTCATGGGCTTCCTGGAAGTATCTGGTTGCCCCCCCATTGGAAGAGAGAGCTTTGGATCTAGCAATGCCATTCTTAAAAGTCTGTATTTATCCATTTAGGTGGGCACCTCAGTAACTCTTCTTTCTTCTCCTGCTGGTTGACTCTCTCTATGGGCATTACCAGTGTGCCAGATCCTTCCCAAAGGAGTGGTTGCTGTCCTGGGACCATCGTCAAGTCCTGCTTCCAGCTCTATCATCAGCAATATCTGTGGGGAGAAAGAGGTGAGTGGAATAAATACCTTGTTTGCATTCATAGAATAATTGAGTTGGAAGGGGCCTATAAGGCCATGGAGGCCAACCCCCTGCTCAATGCCAGCATCCAAATCAAATTGGGCAACTATCTGACAGATGCTTGTCCAATTTTCTCTTGAATGCCTCCAGAGTTGGAGCACTGACTGCCTCTTGAGATAATCGTTCCATTGTTGTATTGCTCTAACAGTTGAGAAGTTTTCCCATCCAAGACCAGAGCTTTGATATTCGTGTGATTGAGGAATGACATGGGAAAGAATTTCAGTAACTCAGTATTTTCAGTGACGATAGACTTTTCACATCTCACAATTGGTTGCAAGAAAAGACTTATCTCACCCCAAGAATTCATGCATTTCTGAAACTTACAGCCTTTTTTCAGAAGAGATGGTGGGCACACCAAGCCAGGTGCACCTTTAACATGTGTACATTTAGTAGGAGCTTTGTGGTCCTGTGGTTAAACTGCAGTACTGCAGTCAAAAACACAGTTCACACCCTGATTTTGATCCCAGCGGATTCAGGTAGCCAGTTCAAGGTTGACTCAGCCTTCTGTTCTTCCATGGTTGGTAAATTGAGTACCCAGCTTGCTGGGGATGAGGGCAATGTATAGCCTACATACTTGAATTGTAAACTACCCAGAGAGTGTCTTGAGAAATATGGGGTGATATATAAACAGCACATTTAAGCAGCACACTTTTGGAAATTACTATTTGATGAGGAATCATGCAAATTGGGTTAAAAATGTAAATAACCGCACATGTTATGAAAATAACAAAAATATATGTATGCAAGTTTTCATGAAGAAGGAAAAAGACTGAAACAGTTTGTGGGCCATCTGATTTGAACATGCATCAGTTTATAAATTGGTTTCACTTCACTTCAGAACCAGGTCTTGGTCACTCCACTCCAGTCCGGACCGCATACAAATCTGACCAAATTAAGCAGGTTCATTTAGTCATGCAGGATCTGTCCAAAACTGGTGCAGAACCCTGGTGAAAATATTTGCCAAAAAAAAAAAATTAAAAAAGGTAAGCCAAGAAGTACATTTCCAGTGTGTGGTAGAAATAAATCTGTGGCTGATCCCCCTGACAAGCTTCTGAGCCTGCCCTTGACATCCATCTTCAGGAAAACTTCAGGTCTCCTTTTTTGTTTGGAATGTTTTAATACAAAACGCATGATAATGTTTCCAAACAGTGGACCTGATGTAATATTTTATAAGCCCTTTGCTGCTTTGTGTCGATCCACCTCCATTCCCAGGGCACCAAGAAGAGAGCACTTGTTATTCATCCGCTTAAACCCTTATACATCTTTCTGCCATTTAGTCGCCTCTCTAGCCTGTTCTTTTCCACCAGCTTTTGGATGGATTGAAAGTCAACAAGTCAATGGGAGGCATTCACAAATAAATTGAAGCTGTTCACTGGTTCCAAATTGCTTCCAGGTATTTTCATGGCCAAAAACCTTTTTCAAAAGTTTGGGAACTGGGGTTCAAATAAAAGTTTGGCCAAAATGAAACAGTGCAATGTCACTGCCACGAAGGCGGAGGAAGAGAATAGAATGAGAGTCCTCTCCATGGGAGAAAGGCAGCCTACAAATTTCTGTCTGTCTGTCTGTCTGTCTGTCTGTCTGTCTGTCTGTCTGTCTGTCTGTCTGTCTGTCTGTCTGTCTGTTTGTAGGATGACGTCCGTCCGTCCGTCTGTCTGTCTATTTGTAGGATGGGGCAACTTTGATTTCTGTTCCTAAATAAATGTCTGAAGTCTTCCCCAGTGCTTGGGACAGTTACTGTTTTCAAGACTTTAACTTATCTCAGAACTTTTGACTTTGACTTCAACTTTGCTGATTGATGGATTCTCAGAGCTTTTACTCCCCCCCCAAAAAAAAATCACATCTCCCAGCCCTAGTCTTCTGTCTCTCTACCCTAGAGGATTTGCTTTCTATTTCTTTCTTGGTTTCTAATGCAGCCACTTCATTCACATTTGCATCTCCTTCACTGTCTTTTCAAAGAATACCCTAGGTTTTGCCTGCTTTACCAGTTTACCTCTGTAGTCCCCAGCCCTATCCACACCCAGTGTTACTCTTGGCTGCTTTAATAATAATTATCATGTGCTACCAAATCAATTCTGACTTATGGCAACCATTTTCAGAATTTTCCAGGTAGAGAATACTCAGACGTGGTTGACCATTCATTTCTTCACGGGGTTTCCCTGGGGCCATTGTGCAGCTGGCCCAGGGCCATACAGGCTGACTCTTCCCCATGGAGGCAGAGTGGGGAATTGAACTCCCAGCCTCTAGCTCTGCAGCCAGAGATCTAAACCATGGAGCTATCCAGACAGCTGGCTTCTAAGAAAATCCCTGTCCTTTAAGTGGGCAAACAAGGTCCTGGAGAAGATCTTTTGGTGACCAACCAGATCAGGGATTGAGCCCTCATTCAGCATTTGGTATCGCAGGTAGTAAGATTTCCAATAGCAGTCTGGGAGTTCAAGGAGTTGCTCCTACCCAAGATGTAATTGACACAACTGAGCTAAACAGACCTAAGGTCTGACTTGAAAATCCAGTATTAATCTATAAGTAGAATAGGCCCATTGAATCACTGGAATTTGCAAAAGTGTTGACTCACTGAATCCCCACTGATTGAGTGGTTCTACTCTACTTGCAACTTAATACTGGATTTCAGCTATTGTCATAGGTTTTACCTGTATGAGTGCTGCTCCTAACCCACATTCCTTGCTACAGAGAGGTCAGGACCAAAGCAGCTGTTTTCAAGCACATCATTTGTTAGGAATGTGTTGCAGCCCCCAGCCTAGAAAAGGATTTCCAAAATGTCATGATGAAAAGAGTCTTCAGGTTGGGCCTTTAAAAATATTACACTAACAGCAAATCAGGACTGCTTTTACATTCCTGTGTCTGCTAGCATGATATCTGTACATCTTTTTCAAATAATACCTGGACTTTGTTGAGATTTGAGAGACAAATCTACTCCATGCTTTCTGGGGTTTAAATGTACCGTAATTGGCAGTCCCAATTCCAGAAGACCATTTAAATCACTGGGACTCATTTACAAAAGTGTTGATTTTTCATTCAACTGCTAATTCGCTAGGTCTACTTCAGTTGGAACTACTGGTTGGATTTAAGCACAAGCTGTTAATATGATTTGTTTCGTAGCAATCTTGTGTTGAGCAGGATATATTTATTTGAAGTCCATGAAATTGAAAATGCATTAAAGTTTTAAGATTTAATGATTTTTCTTTATGTCTTCACTGAAATCTGTGATAGCATCATCATTCTCATCTATTGTAATGTTTTATTCCTCTTCTCTTCCATTACATGTATATTTCTTGTGATGCAATTCTACTATCCATTTAGTACTTTACCATGTTTAATACACTGTACATATTACAGAATACCTAGGTTCTATTGGACATATTCCCATTTCTGCAAAATTATATTATAGGACCCTTAGGGTGGGTGAGAGAGTTCATTGAGCAGAGGAACACTGCCTCTCCCTCTCTGATTTCCACTGAGCTAACACTCGGCTTCCAGTGTGTGTTCAGAGTAACAGAGTCATCATACAAGCCTTTGAAAGGGAAGGTTATTCTTAAGACCTGCAGCAACCAGCCTGTTGACTACACATGCCTTCCACCACATCCCACCTACAGCCAGAATTTTTGGAGAGGGGCGTGCTTGTCCCCCAGCCAGTTCTAGTTTTCTCTCTTCATGCTCTGATGTCTTTGCTTTCCTTCCTGAGTTCAGATTGAGAACATCCTTCAGTGTCAGATCACCAATCATTAGAAACCCTTCTGTATATCCATCCTCATTTACTTTCCTTACAGTCCATTGATCTTAGTTATTTTTTTCATTGTTTCCGCCTCAAACATTCCCATTCTTCTGCCAACAAGGCGACTCCCAGCTCTTTCTGCCTTCCCAAAGAAATGTCCAGGTAACTCAAATTTCAGGGTAGTGGGATGGCTGGCTGGAGTGTTTCTGAAGTTCTGATTACCCATTCTCTGGACACATTAAGTAATGCCCATGGTACTGTTTCCACCCACTCACTAACACTTCAAGCTGGACTGGCTGCAGGGCTGGTTGTTTTCTGCAGTGAGTGTCTGGCAGCATTTTGTGGGTACCAAGGTCATTCTCCCCACCAGGGCATGGAAGGAACCGCAAAGAGTAAGCAGAGCCTCCAGAGTGGCTGGCCTCAAGGGTTCCGGTGCAGAAAAGAATCTAGCGCATGGAAACGGTGGCCCTGCCTGACGCCTGGGATACCTAATGTGCTGCAGTGGATAGAGTGACAGACTAAAACTCAGGAGGTCTAGGTCTGAATCCCTACTTAGACATCAAAACTCACTGGGGTGTGTGTGTGGAAGTAGTAAAACCACTCCTTAAATATCTCAGCCATCAAGTCGGAACTGACATATTGGGTTGTTCTAGGTCAGTTCTGACTTGATGGCATGTAACAACAAGCCTGGCATCTCGGTGGGTGGCTGACTGATCGACTGTTTCCTCTATCACTTGATCGCTGTGTTGCGATCCGTACTGCATTTCACAACAAAATCCCAGGAGCTGCCTTGTTTGCAAATGGGAGGGTCGCAGGGAGATCCGTGTTTCATTGTCTGTGAAAGTGCGACACAACTTCTTATTGAGGAATTTTATAATCTGTTCAGGCTTGAAAAGAGGCAACGATTTCCTCTACCATTCCAGGTGTTAATTAACAAGGCAAAGCTAGAGACGTTGTGGTATCTGTCATCTACTTTTCAAATGGATAGACAAGAAAATCACATTGTTTGTAATTTCTTTTCTCTACATGTGTATGTGTGTGTATGTATACACTGGCAGAAATCCTGATGCTGAGTGCAGTAAATCCCAGGTAGAGCTGGCCAAAGGAAACAGTAAATATTCAGTGATGACATTGTTTGTAATTTCTTTTCTCTACATGCGTATGTGTGTATGTATACACTGGCTGAAATCCTGATGCTTAGTGCAGTAAATCCCAGGTAGAGCTGGTCGATGGAAACAGTAAATATTCAGTGATAAGTCAACCAAATCCCCACTGATTCAATGGGACTACTCTTCTTGAGACTTACTGTGCTAAGCAAGAAGATTTCAGCCACTGAGTACCAGACTTTATGCAGTGAACCCTTGGCCACAAAGCATGATGAAGTAATAGACATATTAGTCTATAAAATGCCACAAGGTTGGTTCACTGTTGTTTTTTGCGACACAGACTGTGCAATTTGCATTACAGGGCTTGAATTGATGTGTTTTTTTTTAATCTAAAGGCACTTTACGCTGTCCCCTTTGGGTCAGTGGTTCTGCATCAACAAGGCAGAAGGTTGAAGAAGGTTAGCCAGGGTCAAAGATCCAGGCAGAGATCCATAGCAAGCACCACTCAAGGTCATTTGAAGGTCTATGGCTGAGCTACTAATTTGATCTTGGCCAAGCCCTTGGTTGTTGGGGCCTTTCACCCAGTCCGTGGCATTTGCTGCCAGGGTCAGATTCCATCTGGCATCCTTTAACGTTCAACAAGCACATCCTGGGGGTGCCCTGTCTGCTTCAGTTAAGGGGAGCTGCCTGGAGGAACGCCGGCTGCTTTCCTCCCTCTTAATTGAGCCTGGGCGGAGGGCTGTGGAGTGAAATCAAGGCAGACTTTAGATTATTGCTCTTTAACTTTTCTATTACCAACCAAACTGCTTGTGCAGCTGGTTAACAGCCTTGCCCCAAGAGAAGTGTGATTGCAGGCACGGCGTTATAACTTTTTAGAAGCTCCAGTAATGGAAGCAAAGAGAACTTGACGTTTCCCATAATGTAGCATAACCAGATGTTTCCCTTTGCCACATTTTATGCTTCTTCCAAATAATTCAGTTTGGGGTGGGAAGAAGCAGGGAATGTTTTTGCTCACCCCCTCCCCGTTTCACAAAGCCCCTGAACCATGTCATCCTCTTGAATGTGCCGTCTGCACTGTTGCCCTGCTATCAGCTTCCCCAAGCTGAGCACAGGGAATAACGCTTTGAAGAAACCGCTCAAGTCCCCCAGGTCCGGGCTTGGTGTTGCTATGCTTGGCAGAGAGAAATCTAGGCTCCCCTGCTTCTGCTTTGATTTATTACTAGCAAATGAGCTATTATTAGGACTCATGCTTTACGAACCCTCTGGAGAACTGGTCTTACCGTAGCTGTTTCCTCTTTGCAAACGCAACACTGTGTAAACTCCGCTGGCCAGCTGCACTGCACATGATCAAATATTGAGGATGAGAACTGGGGCACCTTTGTGAATGTGTTGCAACCACGCACCCCAGATTTTGCACCCAAGAGGCCCTGCGTGGTGCAGGCCAAACCCAGCGGCTGGTTCTGCATTGTGCGTCCATGATGCTTTTGCAGGCAATTAAGGAAACCTATTCAATTTACAGGAAACAATGTGCATTTAAACCACAGCTTGGTTGGTAGAGGAACTGATTTACTATTCAGGGTTTCAGCTCCACGCCGGTATAGCGGCCATTGACTAAAAGGCAATGAAAGGGCAGTTTGCTGAATGCCAGGAACACCTTTGTCTGTAAAGGTGATTGACTATTGATTCTATATATTTTTGAGGTATAACCTGGTGATGCCACACCTGATGCTGGTTCATGAAGCTCATGATCTCCGATTTGGATCCTAAGTAGCAGGAGTTCCCCATGGCTATAACATTTGGCCAGGATATATTGGGACATGTTCTGCTTTTCCTTTGCCTACGTTATGTAAGGCCCAGCCTGATAAGGGTTCTAGGGCCTGGAATGAGAAATTGATGGATTTGATTATGTTTTTGGTGCTGCAATGAAGGCATCTCCACAGGGTAACTAATAAAGTCCTGCCTCTCTTCTTCAAATGATCTCCCTTCCTTTGTCAGGTTCCCCATTTCAAGGTTGCTCCAGAAGAATTCCTTAAACTGCAGCTGCAGAGATTCACCACCTTGAACCTCCACCCCAGCAACACCGACATCAGCGTGGCCGTTGCTGGGATTCTACATTTCTTTAACTGCACCACTGCCTGCCTCATCTGTGCCAAAGCAGAATGTAAGTATCTTCCTGTTGCCTGCTTGGAGCGAAATATTTATCCTGTGGATTTGGTGCAAGCTGTCAGGGGTCAGTATTTGAACTTGCTTGGTGGCGAGAGTAGGTGGCTGAAGGAAAGTTAGAGGATGAAAATTATGTTGACTCAAGGTGGTTTTGCTGGGAATTCAGGGAATTTGATGGGAATGGACCTACGCATCTATGCCGTTTTAATCCTAGGTCTGGAAGAGTATTTTGTTGGATTTAACTGTCTTGACAAAGGACACATTTCATACATCCTGAGACTTGTTATGAAAAGCAACAAGCCTTGCCTCAAGAATTTTTACATTTATACTTTATTTTGGAGCAAATTGTATGTAACAACAACAATCTTAGTTGGAAAAAATAATGCACAAAGCATACTTTAATCAACAGGAAAATGTCTGCATTGGTAGAATGCTTAAATAAATGTATTTGTTGTAGGAAATGTAAGGGGGAAAGTGTTAAAAATTCAGACTGATTACCATGCCAGGGAATGGGATTGACTCTCAGGTTCTGCAACCTGATATTTAAAAAGCAGGGGGAAGAAAATGCCTATGAGATTTGCAGGAGCATCACAAATTGAAATAGAGAGATTTCTCACTTCCTAATTAATCCTCTTAATTTTTCAATACGGAATTATTGGAGCAGAGTTAGTCTTTCCTTTGCCTTTGATTTTTCATCTTCTGGGCGAAATTATGAGGGCTCATCCCATGGTAGCCGGGCTGCAACAGCAGGACACCACTTGCCAGTAGCCTCCTCCTTCTCACTGTGCATTTGCAACAGTGTGTAAATTAAGTACAGTGCGCATGCATTCCTATACACACAGGTTTCATATAGATAATGATTTCTGTCATGTCTGCAATTTTGAGCTCAGAGCCAAATCCATTGAGCCAGGGGAGTGTGGTGCTGATGGATCACTGGTTGAGCAAGAGGCTGAGGCCCTGGGCTCAAGGATGATGGTCAGGATATTACAAAGCAAAGAAGCAGTTGTCTTTAAGGTGAGATTTAGCTCTTAATGCCTGCAGGTGGGGAATGGGCCTTGGGAAGAGTTAGAATAAGGCAGTGCTTCTTGGCCTTTGATCTGCTGGTTGTCCTTGACTTCAAGCAGGGGATCAAAGGTGAAGAAGCACCAACTATCAGTGATTCTTGGTAGGCCAGAGGACAGCAATCCCTAGACTGAAGGATGCTATTTGTGACATTTCTGTTCACCTCCAGTGGTGCAGTCTAGTCACTGGGAGCTGTCCAGGGTGCTGCAGACTCTGGCCGTCTTTTCAGCGGTACTTCGGGCAGGATCTGAGCTGTTACAGATTCTTTGTCTTCAGCAAGGAAATATGATGTTCTGCGCCAACATGCATACTCAACAGCCCACAGACAGACATGTTTGGGTTTTCATGGCTACATGTAGCCATTACCATTATTTTGATTACCTTGTTAGTAGAGCCAAAGAATGCATCAATAAATGTGCATGTTACGAAAAAGATGTTGATGTTAAAAATTCAAATGGATTATTGTACAAAGATGCAGTTCTGTGCTACCTCATCTGTAGAGGATAAGTATATTCTTCAGTTTCATAAACATGCTTTTAGTTCAATAGCATTAAAATGTGCTTTAAAAATTCTTTTAAACCTGGAGCCGTTAATGGCAGAACAGCTCCAGGATAAGTAAATGTTTTTTATGTGGAGAGGTCAATAATATCAAGGTAGTCAGTTCATTATAGCTATTTTTACTCTCACAGTAATGAAGTTTGCAATGCAGGGTTAGCACCACATAAAGTTCTATGCACACACACACACACACACGCACACATGACCTTGTGCAAATCTTACACACTGAAGAGGGAAATGTATTTGCTAGAAAACACATGCAGATTCTTGCCTGTTAATTCCATATCTGTTAATTTGATTCATTATTTAACTGGATAGAAAAGCACAGGAATGAATGGCTTTTAAAATAACATGGCTTGCTGAGTCAGGTTTGATTGCTTTAATCAGGTACGACTGGATGAACGGATTGTTCATGAGCCCCAAAATGTTTGCTTACTACTCTTCAGGGCCATAATACGTCTACTTTGTCATCAAGCATAAAATGTGCAATTCTGTCACTTAAGGGGGGGAAATCTGCAACTGTTTTGAGAGAGGGGGGTCTTAACAGTGAACCATGGTATTTGTCCAAAATGATGGGCCGTATTGGGGAGGTTCTGTCTGTTGAGAGGCTGGTGTATCAGCTTGCTTTTTTCTACTTATCCCCTTCTCATGGGAAGCCTAAATGTAACTTTTCTGCTAATTGAAGATGCCTCTCAGGGACTCAGCCTGGCAGTTTTGGCCTTGTACACACCATATCTGAGTGCTTCCATGGATGAGATGGAGATCATGGCTCACCATTCTCTGGACTTTAAAAGCTATCATGAAAAACCTTGTGTTAATGACCCAGGCTGGCAAAGGATGTTTTTAAAATTATTATTGTATGTCACGAAGGGCCTGTCCACACTGTGAAATTTGGTGCAATCCTGTTGGTGCTTAAAAGGTCTTTCTGTTCAGTGCAATCTGTTTTAACTCTTGGTACAAATCTGGGAAGGCTGAACAAAGAGATATTTTTCATCTCAATGAATCACACACACACACACCCCCAAAAAAGATTGCATGCCCTAACCCTGTGCCAGAAGGATATGGATCAGCTCTTAAAGGGGAAGGACGGATCATATTAAGAAGAAACATAAGCAGATGGGGTCTTTTTTCCCATGACAAACGGTGCTGTCAAGGAACCATATTCCATAAACTCTTAAAGGGGAAGGACGGATCATTTTAAGAAGAAACATAAGCAGATGAGGTCTTTTTTCCCCATGACAAACAGTGCTGTCAAGGAACCATATTCCATAAAATATATATGCCAGTGTGGACAGGCTCATAATCCCTCAAAAGATTGCACCAGTGACTTCTCTGGAGTGACTTCTCTGGAGTCGTCTACTCCAGAGAAGTGATTTTTCTCAAGCTCTTATTAATGGCAGACAACATTAACATGTGTTCCAAGTGTTTGAGTCTTATTTAAAATAACCCCAGAAAATTTCTAACTTATTATTCAGATAGATAAACTTGTAAGTGGGTAGATGCATCTGCTGAAACTTCAGAAGCCCCAAGGCGATAGCTTAAATCTTCCAGTGGCTGAAGGCAGAGCCTTGAATGACCTCCTGCTCATGACTATCAGAATCAAAAGTGAAACACACATGCATAGACAGTCTCTGTGTAAGTTATTATAGCTGCATTTCAATGCAATTTGGAACTTTATTATATATGCCTATAACGTTGCCTACATTTGCATAGCAGATGATTGTGGCAGATGGTAGCATTTTCCCAGTGCAGGATTTAGCCTCCTATGACATGGAGTCTGTGCACGGCCATAGCCTAGCCTAGTTTTCTGCCCAAGGGGCATCCAGCAGGTATCGAAACAGGCTGTCACTCACAGCCGAGACACAGCTAGTTTTGCATGTAGCCCATTCAAAGATCCAGAGAGATGCCTACAAGTCCTTAATCATCTCCTGCCTGCAAAATAATCCCCTTAAAAGAGCATCTTGCTAATTGGTGGGAAGCAGTTCAGAACCTTAATACAAATTGCAATTTCTTTGGATAGAAATAGGGCTCTTTCCTTAGCTGTATTAAGTGGTTGAATTAAGTTTGGACGTCTATGGACTGAAAGCCACCATTCTTCTCCTCAAGTGGGTTGAAGAAATTAAACCGGGTGGGGGGGGGAGAGTGGAGTTTCTGTATGCCTGTAACTAGCTTTCCCAGTTCCCAGTTGGAGGTAGAACAACTTCCTTACAAGAAAAAGCCTAATCTTTAGGCCTGCTTGAGTGTACAGAAGGGAAATATGGTTTCAATTCTGAGAGCGAGAATGATTTTTTCCCCCTGCCTTCCATCATAATATAACTCATGGATACTCAATAGATTTGGCATGCACACGCACACACACACCTGAGTTACAAAATGCACAATCATGGTGTTGGCCATGGATTTAGAAATCTTTAAAACAAGATTTGACACATTTGCTTCAGATAGGACTATCAGAGTTGGCAAAATCTCCACACATAGAGGCACTATGCTTTCCCACCAAAGCTTGGGATAGCTACGTAGTTTTTTGGACCACAACTTCCAGAATTCCCCAGATAGCATGGCTGTCTTTTCCAAATTTTGGTCTGAATACCAAGAGGAAAGGACCGTCAGACGTCAAGTCCAGGTTGTGAACCTCCTGATGCATTGAGCTGACCACTCAGTGGAACAGGATTGTTTATGATAGCTCTTAAGATGGTCTGGAAGTTGAGTTGTAGCAACTGGACTTCTTTCTTGTTAGTTTGAAACATTTTGCTACTCATCCAGGTACCTTCTTCAGTTTGAGGAGAGTTGGTAGGACACTAATGATCTATCCTCCATGTTGGTTTCACTTCCCCCTGGTCTGAATAGGCTTGTCAGAAGGACAAAGAATTTGGGGGTGAGAGATAATCCCACTTATGCAGTCCTTCTCCACCCATTGTCATGGGTCTTGAGGGTCATTAACAATGATCTTTCTTGTGTGTGTGTCCCTAATCCTTCTGGGGAAGGATGAAAGGGCAGCATAATAAACAGGAGACAGATTGTATCTAAGGTCTCCACCCCTGTTGAGTAAGGGATTTTCTCTGTGCACATGTATGGTCTCCCTGACCCCTCTCTCAACCATCTGTCAGGATCTGACCCACACCACCCTGGTAGCTGCAGGATCAGGGCCAGCCTGACCCAGGAATGGCTTGGTGTTTGCAGGCTCAGGCCCTGACCTGTGTAGCAGCTGCTGGGCCACTCATGAGGCTCACCTGGAAAGCTGGAGGGAAGGCCTATTTAAGGGGTGGTTCTCCCTCCCAGCGCTAGCCTTAGCAATAAAGGTTTTTGGAGGTGCTTTGTTTACTACCTTGCTGCTCCTGAGCTTTGGAGAACCTGCATTCAGTGTTTCTACACCTGTTC